CTTTGGCAAAGTTGACAAAAATAAGCGATGGGGAAAGGACTCCCCTATTCAGTAAGTCGTATTGGGATAGCTGGCTGGCTGCTACATGCAGAAGAATGAAACTAAATCCCCACCTTTCACTATATGCAAAAATTAACTCAAGAAGGACAAAATATTTAAATATAAGACCTCAAATTATAAGAATCCTAGAAGAAAACATAGAAAACGTCATTCTGGACATTGGCCTTGGGAAAGAATGCATGACTAAGTCCTCAAAAGCAATTGCAACAAAAACAAAAATTGACAAGTGAGACCTAATTAAACTAAAGCTCTTCTGTAAAGCAAAAGAAGCCATCAACAGAGTAAACAGACAACCTACCGAATGAGACAAAATATTTGCAAACTATACAATTGACAAAGGTTTGATGTCCAGAATCTATCAGGAAGTTAAACAATGCAACAAGCAAAACACAAATAACTCCATTAAAAATAGACAAAAAATATGAACAGACAATTCTCAAAAGAAGACATACAAGCGGCCAACAAGCATATGAAAAAATTGCTCAACAACACTAATCATCAGAGAAATGCAAATCAAAACCACAATGAAATATCATCTCGCACGAGTCAGAATGGCTATTATTAAAAAGTCAAAAAACAGATTCTGGTGAGGCTGCAGAGAAAAGGAGCTGCTTACACGCTGTCAGTGGAAATGTAAATTAGTTCAGCCACTGTGGAAAACTGTTTGGAGATTTCTCAAAGAACTTAAAACTACTATTTGACCCAGCAATACCATTACTGGGCATATATCAAAAAGAAAATAAATTGTTCTACCAAAAGGCACACACTTATACGTTCATCACATCACTACTAGTAATAGCAAAGACATGGAATCAACCTAGGCACTCATCAATGATTTATTGTACAAAGAAGATGTGGTACATATACACAAATACCACACAGCCATAAAAAAGAATGGAACCATGTCCTTTGTAACAACATGGATATAGCTGGAGGTAATTATCCTAAGGAAATTAATGCAAGAACAGAAAAACAAATATTGCATGGTCTTGCTTATAAGTGGGAGCTAAATGTTAGGTACTCATGAACATAAAGATGGCAACAATAGACACTGAGGACTCATAGGAAGGGGAAGGAGGTGAGCTGGGGGTAAGAGTTGAAAAACTAACTGTTGCATATTATGCTCACTATCCGGGCAATGCGATCTTTAGAAGCCAACCCTCCACATCATGCAATATACCCATGCAGCAAACCTGTACATGTACCCCATGAATCTAAAATAAAGGTTAAAATCATTTAAAAATTTACTGTGCATATATATAATTTTCATGTCTATTTTTAAATAACAGAATATTACATAAGTAAGGGTCTTACTTCCAACTCTTCTCTTCCTTTTTTTGTGCTATTGTTGGCATTTATTTTACTTTTATATATGCTACTTACCCACAATGTATTGCTGCTATTTTGTTGTTGTTTAGGCAGTCAATTTCTTTTGGAATGATGAATAATATGAAAATATATTTTTATATTTATTTTCATTTTAAATTACTTTCAGAACTCTTTATTTCTTCATGTAGATCTAGATTTCCATCTAGTGTCATATTTCTTTTGCTTGAAGAATTTCTTTTAACATTTCATGTAAAGTCAGACTATTGGTAATAAAATCTAATTTTATGTATCTGAAAAGCCATTATTTTACTTTCATTTTTGAAAAGTATTTTCACCTGGTTACAGGATACTAGGATAGTCATTTTCAATTTTAATATTTTAAAGATGCCATTTTCTTCTGACTTGCATAGTGTTTGTCAAGAAATCTGTTGTAATACTTATCTTTATTTTTCAGTAAGTAATACGTATTTCTTTCTTTTTTCTCTGGCTGCCTTGAAGACTTCCTCTTTATCTTTGTATTAAGTTCGGATTTAATATGTCTAGGTATGTCTGTTTGTGTGGGGTGGGGTGGGGGGCGTGTATGTGTGTTTGGGGAGGGCATATTGATCCAGCTTGAGGTTCTCTAAATTTCTTAAGTCTGTGATTGATATATTTTATTATTTTTGGAGAATCCTTCATTACCTTTTCAAATGTTTTTCCCTGCTGTCTCTCTCTTCTTCTGAGATATTAATTATACATTACAATGTTTGATATTGTTCCACAATTCTTGAATGCACTGTTCTTTTTTCTTCTCTCATTTTTTTTATCCTCTGTGTTCTCAGTGTTAGTAATTTTTCTTGATCTCTTTCCATGTTCACTGATTATTTCCTTGGCTATATCATGCCTGCAAACGAGCTCGTCAAAAGCATTATTCTTTTCTGTTATCACGATTTTATTTTTAGCATTTCCACTTGACTCTTCCTTATAATTTCTATTTTTCTGCTGAAATTCCCCATCTATTCATAAATGGCCTCCACTTTTTCCACTGGAAACTGGGCCAGGAAGGGGATGGAAAGCCTCCATTAAAAGACATGATTCCAGCAGAACTGGCAGATCATATGATTTATGATTATGGATCTGAATTTGAATTTACCTATCAGAAAGGAGAAGTCATTCGGTCACTTTTAGATTTGTTTAAAGAAGCTTTTAGACTCTAGATGGACTGCAGTTTGAATCTGATTCCCAGCCATGCTTCTCAATTGACTCAACTGGTAGTAGGCACTTAGCATGTCCTACATTTTCAAACGATTTTACTCACAGCAGCCCAGCTTGTCCTTGTCTGTGTCTGTAAGTGTAGCCTAGGCCATCTGGTCTTTTTCTCCCAGGTGTGAGAAACTAGATGTTATCTTGCCTACTGTTTTCCTTTACTAATGTTGCTAGTGAAATAATGACTCTGCTTGAACGGAAGTAAAGTACTAATGAGACAATAACAAAGACCAATGCTACCATTTAATGAGCGCTTGCCACATACCAGTGGCAGAAAAGATAAAGAATCAGAGGCACCAAGAATTGAAGTACTATACACAAGGTTGCAGATATAAGAGGCTGATGGGCCGGGTGTGGTGGCTCACACCTGTAATCCCAGCACTTTGGGAAGCCGAGGCAGGTGGATCATCTAAGGTCGGGAGTTCGAGACCAGCCTGACCAACATGGTGAAACCTCGTCTCTACTAAAAATACAAAAATTAGCTGGGCGTGGTGGCGCATGCCTGTAATCCCAGTTACTTGGGAGGCTGAGGCAGGAGAATTGCTAGAACCCAGGAGGCAGAGGTTCCGCCAGAGAGCCAAGATTGCACCATTGCACTCCAGCCTGGGCAACAAGAGCGAAACTCCATCTCAAAAGCAAACAAACAAACAAAAAAGGCTGATGTAGAATTCCAGCCCGGTATCTTAACTATTCCTCAAGTACATCGGTATCTTGGTATCTGCCCAATACCATTAAAAAAAAACTGCTCTATGGAGCAATGACTCTCAAATAGAACATCTCAGGTTAATAACAATTTTCTGTGGAGGAGCTGACCTTGAAGATGATAGTAAGGGTCTTAAAGAAGAAAGTTTCATTTCCTCTGAGAAGCCCTGTCATTCCTAGATTGTAGAAATCTCTTTCTCCCCAGTGTTGAAAGCCTGCTCAGATGTCACCTTTAGAAACAACAGCAACTGTGACAGTAAAAGGCAGACAATGGAAGGTATAACCAAAATCCTGAGTCCCTACCTCCCACTTCAGGGTTGATGAGCTACACTGAGATGTGTGGCCTGGGTTTGGGACCCAGCTGCTAAAAGCATTTCTTTGGTTTCTCCTAAGTGGGCTTTCTAAGAAACCCTGTGATTGTGAATGCTTTGGACAGGCACAGCTGTGGGGGAACAGGGGAACATCTTCTTGTATTTCTATAAAGAAAACAAGTTGACCATATATTTGGATCTATCCAAGGATGCTGAAAGTGCTGCTTTTTAAATGTTTTAAAATTTTTGAGGGAGGATAAAAGCATTCAGATACTGGTAGCCAAATTTTGTCCAATTTCATAGACATTTAATCTTTCCTGTCCTTCTTGTGGGAGCATGTCAATATAATTTTTATTATTATAAAAAATGATAATGTCACACATGGTGTAAGTTTTTTGTATTCTGTAAAGCATTTTACATATACTGTTTCATTTTATCTGAAGAAAACATTAAGGCAGATGGAGACATTGAAGCATGTTCTAGCAAAGAGACTTGCACTAGAGAACAAAGTAAGGAAGCATCAGAGCTGAGTCTGGGTCTCTACCCTTAATGATGACATGACTTGTTAACACAACTTGTCTTCTGGGTACCTTTGTCCAGACTCCTAGTCTTTATCCTGGAGATAAATCAATGGGATAATTCCATTCTTGTTCCCTTTCCATGTAGCCCCCCATAACTTGGAGAATCCCATCCAATTAATAGTTTCATTAGCAATGCCTGTTTCTACACATCCTTATTAACTCTATCACCAATTGTTTGAAAAATTTGCTTATCTTATTACAGGTGGAAAATGGTATCTCATGGTCATTTTAGTTAATCTTTTTATCCCTGCTAGAAGTTGAGTACCTTCTCATAGATTTATGGACGATTTATATTTCTTCTTTCATGGATTGCCTCTTTATCCTCTGCCTAATGTATGTTTATAAATCTTCATATTTTTAATATTTTCAAACAAATTTAAAAGTATTTCTCTTATAAACTACATATATACTTTTTTTCCTTTTACATCTGAACATCTTTGTTTTTTGATGGAAGTTCAAGCCACTGACTTTTGTTATGATTACATGTGTATTTGATTTCTGTCATCTTGCTTTATTTTCTATTTGCTGTGAAATTTTTTCTCATTCACTGGATTGACTGAATTGTCTTTGTCCCCTTTTCAGTTTTGTGCTTGTATTGTGCTGTGTCTTACAAAAGCATCTTGGAATCTCTGCATCCTATTTCTAGTTAGCTCATGTTTAGTTATGTAAATTTTTTTTTTTTTTTTTTTAGACGGAGTCTCACTGTCACCAAGCTAGAATGCAGTGGAGTGACCTTGGCTCACTGCAACCTCTGCCTCCTGAGTTCAAGCAATTCTCCTGCCTCACCCTCTCAAGTAGCTGGGATTACAGGTATGTGTCACCATGCCTGGCTAATTTTTGCATTTTCAGTAGAAATGGAGTTTTACCATGTTGGCCAGGCTGGTCTTGAACTCCTGAGCTCAGGTGATCTGCCTGCCTTGGCCTCCCAAAATGCTGGGATTACAAATCTGAGCCACTGCACCCGACCAGCCATGTATTTTTAATGTATATAAACATATTTTCCTATTATTGAAGATAAATCAATATTTATAACCCATACCCTTCAAACAGGTGTTTGGCATACTTTCATTCCTTCCTTTCCCTCTAGAATTATTTTAATTATTTTGAATTCCAGATTTTAATTTTTTCTCTATTTATTATTTATGTCTTTCCAAATGTGTTGGGATTATTGCTTGCACACTCATTTTTAGAAATTCAAGCATGTGGTGATTAACACAAGCAGCTAACGTGGGTTTTCCTCAGCAGAAGTAAAGTATTATCTCTGCAGTAGGCTCTGCTCTCACTGGGAACGTTCTCTCCAGTGAACACAGAATGACAGAATCTAAGCTTTTCTAAGGATGAGGGCCAAGAGCACGGCACCTCCTTTCATGGTTGCCAAACTTAGGAGACAATGTGTTTCAACACTTTGCACTTCAAGAAGGAGCTACCTTTTTATTTTGTACTTAAATTTATAGTCATGCTTTACTTTTCTCTCCTGTCAAAATGCTCACTTTTTATCCTTAAAACAAAGTCTCTGATTTGTTTAGAGGCCAGTTTCATGGTTTTAACCTGGACAAAAAGCCATGGCCAATTGCTGAATATGGGCAGACAGATAAATGAGTGTAGAGATCAACAGCCATGCTTATTCACCTGTTCTTTAATAAATTATTTCAGAGATCACCACTTGACTCAGCCCTTGCTGAGTTTCTGTGAAGAAGAATTGCATTGCACCCTACTCGTGGTGCAATTTCGACTTGTCAGCTCATGCTTTGATTTTTTCTTTTTTCAAATCAATCAGTCGTTTCTTCTTGTGTCTTCCAGAGATCGCCAAAATTTCTGATTCAGAAATGGCACCTTTCTTCATTTACCACCTTTAACTGGAGTTACTGACATTTCACACACAAGGAACCTGAGGCTTAGAGAAGGCAACCTTGAGAAGCAGGAGATATCATACAGGGATAACGTGTCTTATCATGTTACAGCATTGATAAGGTGAGGAAGTTGAAAACCATTCTTGGGAGCCAGCTCTACCTTTGCCATCATTGTGCAAATAAGAAATCACAGTTTAAAGCACCAAATAATACTGTCTTCTCAGTTTCTTTCTTTAAGAAGCTGTTATTTACCTGGTCTGTTCCACTGTGAGATGTGCCATGACCCATTGAGAACACATTGTCTTTGGGCAACTAGGGAAACATATAAGTAACCGGAGCACATAGAAGAAGTATATGAGGAACTCCTCCTCACCCCATCACCTTTTTGTTAATTTATTTAACCAATATGTCTTGATTGCCTACTACTTACCATTTACTGTTAATATTTAGTTCACTGTGGTAAATAACACAGGAAAGCTCTCTTTTCTCATGGAGCCTGTAGTCACCACTGTGACCTCACATTGATGATTAGCTCTTGGCTTCTGCTTTTGCCTCTTTACCTCAATTCTACTAAGTAAAAAAATCTTACTGATCAGTACAGTAAAGAAATTGCATGAATCTGACTTGGAAACTGTCTCTAGTAGTGTATTGTGAAAGCAAAATAGGATTTTATTAACATTTAAGTATGGCCAACTGGGTCACACATTTTTTTAAATGACTTTTGTCTTAGGTCTTTTTTGGAAAAACACTGGAGAGAAGAATGTGAGTCCAAAATTTGTATTGATTCAGTGAAAACTTCTGAACAGTCTTTTTCATGTTGAACAGTCTATGGCCATCTTAATGAAATGGGGGCACATAAGATACTCAGTAAAAGTGAGAAACTAAGGGGGATTCAAAGAAGGACCAAATCTTGAGACAACATGTGGCTTTGAGGATATTCAGCTGGCATATTTAGGCCTTGTTCTCCTTGCCCTGCCCCTCCCCCAAGGAAGATGGCACTAAATGATGTCTAAGGCCTTCTAGCAGTAATCTGTAATAGAAATATAATACAACAAACTGTTTTCAACTTTTATATTTTCACCACATAGGACTTTCCTTGAGGTTAGTAGAAGTTCTAAGGAGGAAGCACAAAAGAGAGATATGACAATTGAACCTACAAAGCAATAGTCTGTTAAATCCAAACGATTACTGTTGCGTATTATGTCTTAAATTCTCCAATAAGGTATGAGAATGAACTACTTTCTGAGGAAGGGCTCATGTTTTAATAACCAGACAGGAGCCTTCCCTTGTTGCCTGTGAAGTCCCAATGACAGTAGAAATCGCTTTGGGGAGAAAAATCAAAGCAAGAGGATTAAGTTTCTTTTTATAAGATGGTGTGTGGCAGGGTGTGGTGGCTCACGCCTGTAATACCAGCACTTTGGAAGGCTGAGATGGGCAAATCCCCTGAGGTCAGGAGTTTGAGACCATCCTGGGGAACACAACGAATCCCCGTCTTTACTAAAAATACAAAAATTGGCCGGGCGTGGTGGTGGGCACCTGTAATCCCAGCTACTTAGGAGGCTGAGGCAGAAGAATTGCTTGAACCTGGGAGGCAGAGGTTGCGGTGAGTGGAGATCTCACCACTGCACTCCAGTCTGGGCAACAAGAGTGAGACTCTGTCTCAAAAAAAAAAAATAAATAAAAGAAAAAAATAAAAGAAGAAAAAGAAAGCAAGAAAAGAAAAGAAAAAGAGATGGCGTGAGATGGAGATAGAGTTTTTGGGTTTTGGATTTTTTTAATCCTTCCATGTCCCTTCACAGAAAAGAGCTGGAGAAAGCAAGCTTTGGGACTTGAAAATGGTAGGATTTACTTTTTGCTGCAATTCACACCTTTCCCAAATAAATTCCTTAGAAACTCCAGTAATTGGAAAATGATGTTTTCTTGAATTGGTCTCCTCAAATTGCCACTAGGAGAGAGTGAGATACTGCTCTACATCTTGCCAGCAGCCTACTGTCGATACTCTATTTAAAAGGGTCCCTTTAGACTACAAATGAAAGGTGTCCATGAAGAGTTGCTCCAAGGCTCTGAAGATAACTTTCTTCTCCTTCCATTTCTTTTTGCCCTTGTGTCACCTCCTGCACCTCCCTTCCAGAAACCCACTCATATACATATTGGACACACACACACACTCTCTCTCTCTCACACACACACACACAAAAATATTTAAATGGAGCCTGAAAAACATACTTGTTAAGATCATAAACTCAGGAGTCAGGTTGCCTGTATTCTCCATTTAACAGCTGTGTGATCTTGGGCAAGTCATGTAACCTCTCTGTGCCTCAGTTTCCTCTACACCATAGGGTTGTTATAAGGATTAAATGGGCTCATCCATGTGCAGTATTTAGCACAAGGCTTGTTGCATGTAAGTGCTCAATAAATGTTAGGCATTATGCTCATGATGAACTTTCATTTTGTTTTCATTCTTATAATGTCCTGGGGAATGGATAACTTTGCAGGGACAGGTTTTCAAATAAGATGCCCTCAAAGATGAGCCCAAATTGAGCTAGGTTTCCATGTGTGGGTGTAGGATAGGTAAAGTGCTATGTGGTTTGCCATTAGTTCTCACATGGGTTCAAGTCCTGATAGCAACTTGGGAACTGGGTGGTAATAACCTCTGGGTGCCCTTTCAAAGGAACAAAATTAAATGTCACTTGCCAGGTGCTGAAACTTACTCTGAGGACAGTAAGTTAAGGGAATTACCTGTGTTAAGCAAAACTGAATAAATGATCTGCTGTGGTCAAAACCACTTTGGCAAAGCCCTACAGTGCTCCTTCTATACACATGTGTGCATATGTTTCTGCATGTGTTTCCCTTGTCATCACTTTGGGATGGAGGGAGAGAGGGTGGGTGGGTGGGGACTTTGGATGTGATACCGACAAATACAAGCAGTGGGAGACTTAACAATTTCTGTCCACATGAACTCCCACTGTTTCCTTTTTTTTTTTTTTTTCTCAATTGTGATAGGCTCTGGTTTCCTGTAAGTTTAGTTTTGAATTTCAACCTTAAGTTAACTTTGATTGCAAGATCAGTATGATGCCCTTATACAAGAGCTGTGGTCACATGCATAGGGCTGCAAAGGACACCCACCTGGTTGGGAATGATCTGCCCTCCATTTCCCAAACTTGGTGTCCATCAGGTGAAACTAAGTCATAGTCCTTTAAACCTCTCTCTTCCAGTTAAAAAGTTCTCTACAAGGACGGCAAGTGAGAAATTCTTAGATGCCATGCATCTTGCTTTTGTGGATAATAGATCCCAAATTTTCCATGCTGCTGAGAAGGGACAGAAGTTGTCATGTGCGTGAGAAAACCTGTGTGTCTTGTATGGTTTGGGGAATAACAAGAACAAAAATATTTTTCCTCTCTTTCCATTTAATGTAATAAATGGTTCAAGATCACATGCATATAGCTTACCACACAAACTTCCTGCACACAAACATACAGGTTCTTAAAATGAACAAATTTTATAACAAAGAAAAAAATCGAGAAAACAAGAAAAATCCTCCACCACACATACTACACAAAGCTTTGTGTAAATGCCAAAGAAGCTACCAAAAACTGGTAGTTGGAAGCTATAGTGAATTTAACAAAACTTTCTGTACTATTTTAGGTTCCAACCTTTCATTAATAGAAGATCATTTTCATTTTTATGAAGTCTGATGCCTGAAGTGGAGTAAGGAGACAGAGGTGTCAATGAACTGTGATAGTGCTTGGTGAAGTGATTGGGTGGAAATGTGTGGAGGTTTTTGTTTGTTTATTTGTTTGTTTGTTTTTGCTTATATTTTGAACTTCTACCAGCCAGCATTCATTCATTCATTTATTTACTTACTCATTCACTCACTCATGCATTCAGACTTGTGGTTCATAGTGTCAGCTAAAAGTTAAAGTCACAGCCATTGGCCAGAAAAAAGAGGGCTCTGATACTGGCTAAGAGATCAACTGTGACTCCCAATGAGAGGAGTTCCTCTACAGGTCTCTAAACACTGTCCTCTGGGAAACATTGGATGTAGGGAATACCTGTGCACTCAGGGACATCAATTTATAGGCAGGAAGCTTTGCTTATGAGACTTAGAAGTTTCTGCAAGTTATAGATTGATGGTAAGGACTTTGGCTGCTGCTGGGAGAGGAGAAAGGCAATGAGAGTCCAGAAGATGACTGGGAAATCAACTGTTTATGCCTTTTAAATCTACTGGAAAATCCAAGTGTCCCTTCCAAGGGACTTACTTCAAGACATCCCTTACAAGGCAACTTCTCCCATGAGCCCTGCATTATGAAAGTATGTAAGTCCCATTTGCAGGAAATCTTACACCCAGAAACACACTCTCATTGATCTCCGTCTTTGAAATATAGGTTCACACACAACGTGTGCCTCAAAGACATAAAAGATGTGGCAACCCCCATGGCCAAGGTTAAGGTCACTATCCTCTAAAAGAAGTTAGTTTAGAGATTAGTCACACATCATGCAGGATAACCTTTGCCATTCCCTGCCCACTTTCTTTATGGTTAATTTCACAACAATCTCTTTCCTTTTCAAACGTTTTGAGAAAAAAAATCCTCTGGCTAATTTACATGTATGATTATATCAGCCTTTACAAAAGTTCTAAAATGTGTCTGAAGCTTATAGATGGACATTTGCTTTATTAAATGATCAGCTGTAATACCTAAGACCCTTGTTTACTCCTGATTATATCTCTAAATGCAAGGACAAGAATATGGAACCTTCAACTTTTAACTGGTTCATGTTACATTTTAGGTTCCAGAAATGAGATGGCCACAGATCTGCATATCTCCTCTAAGAGTGTTTTAATAATTGAACTGGAGAAATTATAAGCCTTAAAATGTTGACTATTTTTTCTAAAATGTGTGAGCAAAATTCATGGAGTTGAACTGGATAACAAATCGCAAATATTGGACTATATGTTGAGCCATGCACACATGAGAACTGACAATTGTTAGCCATGTCTGTGGGATATCATCATTGCAATTTGGAAATCACTTTTTCAATGTGAGGGCAAAAAAATAAATTAATTAAAAACTAATATGTCAATGCATGTCTTTTAAAATATACATTTCTATCTTTTATAAA